TTTGTTCCTTCACATGCCTAGAYTGCCATGTTTGTTTCCATGTGGGCTGCTGTAGCAAATAGGACTCCTTGGCATAATTTCTCCTCAGTGCTGGTACTGTTAAGGTCCTCCTCTTTTCTGGTTGTCTTCATCTCCAGTGAAYGGGATCTTTCCTTGCATAGTAATATAAGCAGTGACTTTTTTGAAATAATTACTTGTTATTGAGAGACAGAAATGTCCTGAGTAACATCCAGAATGGTCTCAGAAGAACTAATAAATGGTTAAAAAGCCATGTAGAAGAATAATTCAAATTGTTCACTTATTTGGAATGCCTTCTCTTTATGTTCTTCTCTCATCCTTACAGGTAAAGTCAAATTGTGATTTTTAGAGCAGAGTATTCCTGTTGAGTTCACTGGCCTTACTCCTCATTCATGGCACTTCCAAGCCTCTAACCTTGATCAGAACAGTTTTTGCTAATCACTCGGTGCTGTTTGCCTGCTTTGTTTTTCTTTTTGTTCTATGGCTCATCTCTGTTTAGTGTAACTATATACTGGCAGCTGAGTTGCAAGCAGATTAAATCTCATTTGGTTTATTTTTCTTAATGTAATTTTCTGTTTTACTTTTTGTTTCTGTGTGTATGTCCTGTGAGCAAATCAATACACGTCTGCCTTCATCTCCTTAGAGGTAGCAGCTGGAGCCTCCCGGCTCCGAGGGCTCGGAGGCTGCGCTGTGGCCACACAGACTTTCCAGAGGCGACTCGGCCCCAGCAGGGACTTGGCCCTTCCCATGCTTTGCCAGCACCTGTGCTCCAGTTCCTAATGTTTCATCCATGATGGTTTTAGGATGGCAGCTGGGAGCTGGTTCTTAGCTCCATTTGTGGGCCAGCTTCATARATTTTTAGTCTATTGCTACCTTGCTCTTCCCTTAACCTTGTCTTCCTGCCCTCTGCACGCGCTCATACGCTTTGAAAACTGCTGGTGCTTCATGTATTCCAGCGCACCTCAGTTTGCACTGTAGATCTTACCCATACATGCAAAAATAATTTCAGCTATCACTGGCATGCAGTCTTTGGAGGAATTAAAATTAGATTTATCCACAGGACACTGTTTAGAAATCGTGCAATTTACTGTTTCAAAAGGAATTTTCTTTGTTGTAGCTTTTTGCTTTGTTTTTCCTCCATCTACTTCCTGTCTCTTTGTCAGTTTTTTATGGATTAATAATCTATTTTTTGTTTTATTCTTCCAAAAGACATTGCTGATCAAACACCTTTAATGTGAAATCAGGGTTTGGTACATATGATGTAAGGAGTCCAGAGAAACTTGAGAATGTTGTGGTCTGCATTCAAATTGATGKGAAATACCGATGCTGGATGGATGGATAACACTGTCAGACCACTCCTGCCTTGCAGGCTTCTGAAGACCAAAATCCTCGCTTTACCTTCTGAACCTCCCCAGTTCCCAGCAAGTACCAGCCAGGGAGTTTATTTTTAGATGCCGTTCTTTCCTGCGGCAAGTCTGCTGAGAAGGGACTTGTTCAGCTGTGTTAGGTGCCAGTGTAACTGGAAAAGTGCTTGGGGCCTGTTTTGTGGAGCAGTTGTCACCCACACCACATACCCGCACCACGTAGGGTCACTGCTGGGGTTGACAGGGCAGGTTCTCTGGTACCGGCTGCAAGCATAGGCAGTGCTTCCTTGTTAAGCAGAATCAATGCAAAAATGCAACTTTAAGAACATTTATATTGATTCAATAAATATATGTGTGTGTGCTTAATTGTGGATTTTTTTTTTCCTAAGCCAAGATCTTAGTTCTGCAGGGGCTTATTGTCAGGAAATACAATAGAGTGAGTACATCAAAGATAGATTATGCTCAGGCTTGTCTCTTGCCCCATTAGTAAGCTGATTTTATTGTCTTCTTTTGCCTACTAATAAATACGACTTGTGTAAGTAAGTTAATTTTGTTGTAATTAGGATCAATTTTGGCAGTAATTCAATGTTCTTTTTTTTTTTTTGTTGAAACAAGAACAAGAGACTAGCAGCGCCTCCACAGTGCCCTAACAGAAGTAGCAGCAAAGCAGCCTTTTCTTCTTTCAGGCTTTTTTGGCACAGCTGGTGGAAAATACAAACAGTTAGCACATTGTTATCGTGGCATCGTCCTTGACTCAAGGCTCCTGTGTATACATATGTATGTGCAACGCACAGAGTTGAGCACCCATTTAATGCTGTGAATAGAAAGCCTGAGTGTTTCCAATATGAAATCTCACAGGGATTTCCTTCTGAGTCACTGTGCTGGCAGGGTTCCCCAGGAGATGCAGCGTTAGCTTTGGTTGAATTGCCTCTCAATGCATAAAGGYGACTATAAAATGGAGTTTCCCTAAGCAGAGCCCTTGAGAGAGCTTGCTCAATCTCTTGATCTTTATTTACAGACGTGTTAAAGAGCAACTGTCTTTGTAGGAGACAAAACTTCTCTGGGATGACCCGCTTGTTTCCTAGGCTGTGGTCTTGAGGGCTTCAAGCMTGTTCACCACTTGAGCCTTTCTGCCTTGCAGGTCATGTTTTAGTCCTCCTTGGTAGGTAGAATCATAAGAGTCATAGAATCATTATGGTAGGAAAAGACCTTCAAGGTSAAGTCCAGCTGTAACCTCTTCCATGTAAACCCATGTTCCTGCCTCATCTACATGTTTTGTGAACACTACCAGGGATAGTGACCACCACTTCCCTGAGCAGCCTGTTCTAATGCTTGAGTACTCTTTCTATGTAGAAATTCTTCCTAATATGTAACCTGGACCTCCCCTGGAGCAACTTGAGGGCATTTCCTGTTGTCCTATTGCTAGTTATTCTGAGAAGAGATCAGAATGATTTTTCTTTCCATCTTTCAGGTGGTTGTAGAGAGCGATAAGGTCTCCCCTGAGCTGCTGCTTCTCCAGACTAAATAACCCCAGTTCCCTCAGCTGCCCTTTGTAAGGTCTGTGCTCCAGACCCTTCACCAGCTTTGTTGCCCTTCTTTGGACACACTCCAGCATCTCAGTGTCTTTCTTGTAGTGAAACAGATGCAGAATAAAAGAATAAAGTATTTTTATTCAAATAAAAGCACTATCTCTACTTGATGGTTTATATGGTTTATATGGTGGTTTATATGACCACGATTACATATTTTAAATAACCTTCCCTCATCCCTTCTTGCTCTAGAGAAAACATACAAAATAAGCAAGGTAGGAGAAGGGGGGCTCTGTATTTTACTTGGAGTCCAATGAACATAAGCACTCGGAACTTAATCTGGGAGAGGTCTTTGGGGCTTTCAAGTTGGACAGAAGAGCAGGGTCCTGGTGCTTGCCCAGTGCCTCAAGCTGTGGTGAGTATCAAGTGGAGCCCGTGGTSCTGGAAGGGCCAGCGTGGGGAAGGAGAGAGGTGGAAATGCTGAGGTGGTGGCAGTGCCCCCGTGTCTGGCCTGGCTTGCCTCCAGGAGGAGGCCTACCCTGATGTAGCTGGGATCTCCTTCCCTGCCTTTCCCAGGTCGGAGCTCCTCCACGGGCAGTTGTTGGAATCACTGCAAGCTTTGGAGAGGAGAGGTGGGCGGTTGGGAGGCCCCTGGGTTACGGGGCATCTTGGGGGGCATTTCCYTCCGGCATTTCACTCGTGCCTGAATATATCAACGGCCCTGGCTGTGCTCTTCAGCGATCTGCCTTAGCTGAGGTCGTCCGGCCTCCCCGTCAGCCCAAGGGAGGCCGCTCTGCCCACGCGCAGGGCAGTGGGGTTTGTTGCCCGCTGGGCCCTTCACCCCGCTGGAGGCCGGAGCCTGCGTGACCTGGCGTATTTAGTGACCTGGCACCGGGGAGCACTGGCTTGTGGCCCGAGAGTGTAAATGTGTAATCGTCCGTGCAGCCAGCCCATTGATTTCTTTTCAGCTTTGGATACCAATAGGGGAGCTCAAYTAAGCAGCCAGGCCTGCCTTGCAAAGCCGGATACTTAACTAAGCGCTGAGCGTACTGAAGTAAAACCCCTTAAAAGAGATGGAGCCGGGTGCGACAACCCTCTCCTGTCTCTGCCAGTCTGAACGTGACCATTTCCAGCTAAGGGGAAAGTCTGCCACATACTGAACCTTCTGTGTTACCACAGACCCTTTCCTGCTGCAGGAGCCRCGCGACTCCTTGGTGTGGGAAGCGGCCGTTGCCATAGGAATTGCGCAGCCGTCACCGCTGCCGAACGTGGCGACTTCAGTCTCAGTGAGGCTGCACCTTGTGCTTCAAGGGCTGCGGCTGGAGCGTGTTCAAAACTGTTCTTTTCTGTAAAAAATACTAACAGGAATTGCGTTTGTGGAGGAAAGTTTAAAAAATGGGGATTTGGGGCAGTTGCACTTTTCTACTACTGTCAAAACCATAATGGAGAATTCAAAGGCATATCTTGCTGTTATTATATGTGTACTTGCATATAATAATATAGACTTATGGATACARGAACAAGTAAATACAAACTATTCCTATATTCATTATAATAGTGTGAACTCTAGCAGGTATAAGTACTAGAAAATATATWTTTTTTCCTATTCTATTTATTTTTCTCCTTTGTTTTATTAAAGAGTGGAAAGTGACTCCATGGATTTTCCTTCCCTTTTGAAGTTAGTCTGAGAATGCCATTAAAYTTGAAGATAGTAGCACACATTAAGTTTTCTCTATTTCCCTTGGAAACTGCCAGCTTGTGAAGAATGGGTTATCAGGTAGCACTGACCTCGTAATTGGCATTGGAAAGGAATAAAACCCTAAATGCTTCATGCTTCTTATCTGCATTGTTTGTTTACTGTGGAATAAAACACCATAATACTGTTTTCCTTTAAGCACCAGGCGTGGAGGATTCCTCCACACCCATGTTTAGTCTCCATGGGGGTCAGCGTGAAGCAACCAGATTTGTCCAAAATGTTAATTTTGAGCTGAAATTCACCCCATGTAGTCCTGCATTCTCATGTGATGCAATTTTACTTTGAGTGGCAAACCCTCCCTAATGTCCTTTTTTTGTCTTTATTCCTGTGCAGATGTCGCTCCTATGAGGATTGCTGTGGTTCAAGATGCTGTGTAAGAACTCTCTCTATCCAGCGACTATGGTATTTTTGGTATGTGACAACATTTTGGAATTTTATGTTTGTGCTGGCCTGTTCTTGTCCTGTTCATAGGATTTGAAGCAAGATATTCTTTGCCCAAGTATTTTAAAATAGAGTAGGTGCAGTAAGTGGTACAGCCTGGGTACCGGTAAAATGCAGGACTTTGGGTTTTACCATATAAAAACCTCCCGATGCCCAGCTATCCAACATGCCAAAAAAAAAAAAAAAAAAAGAAAACCACACCACTGGAAAAGGAGATTTCTTGTCTCTGGACGACCTCCTCTGTTTCCCTTTTGGGTTGGTGTGTATCGGCTCTAATTTTATCTAATTTTGCTCATTTCCTCATACCTGACGCAGCTACTCCCGAGTGGCAGCATTGCCCGTTTTTGTAGGCCCTCCATTTTAAGAGCGGATTGTGTAAGGAGGATTGTGCATTTATGCAGAGTTTCAGTATGCACATGAATTGAGGCTTCAATTAAAAAGGAAGCGAACGTCTGTGACTATGAGGATTTTACCGGAGATGACGGGAAAAGAAGGCAGAAAGATTTGAGCTCATGAAACCAGCAGCTCAGTAATCTGGATAAAGCTTAAACTAATCACTTTTTTATGTATAATGAAAAAATAAGGTAAATTCTTTTTAGAACAGAATTTTTAAAAGCAGCTAAATAAAACCTTCTCATTATTAGAGAAAGCAAAAGCTATTCTAGAAGACCTGATTTTAGGTATTTTTAAGTAGAATTTAGAATTTTGTTGTTTTTTAAATTCAAAATTGGAATGAATAAACATGAAAAAACAGAAGCCTTATGCATACTATAATACAGAGATTTCTCAAAGCTGCCTGTGGGATTTTGATGTACAATCCTTACTGATATAACTAGGAGTTCTGCGTCTGAATCCCTAGGGTGACGTTGTAAATCTCTGTTTTTCTGTTCAGAACAAATCCTTTCTAGGAACGCTGCCAAAAAGGAATGTATTAATTTTGGCTTAGAAAAACAGAACCTCATTCTGCTCTAATTTCCACCATTGAAACACCAACAGATTTTTGACCCTTTGAATAAAATATATCCTGGCCTTGCGGTGTCACTTTGTCCATCTCGGTCATCTGGGATGCTCCTGAGGAAAGCAACATTGCATGCAAGCTTCCCTGGCCAGCTTTGGTGGAGGAGAAAATACCTTCTTGCCTCCAGTACTTCCAAAGGATCCCAGTTGTTCCTTGTCCTGCAGAAAGGGACCCTGAAAGCAAAGAAAGAGGGGACAGTGATAGATGGAAGAGCCATTGGCACTGGGCAAGAAAATGCCAGCATCCCAGCTGTATTTACAAGCACTGTCATCAGTCACTACCATGTCTGATAGCTAATGATGTCCAAACAGTAGGAAATACTTCTAAGTGCAAAAATCTCCCTACACTCTCACTGCAGATGTGTGTCTGCACTGAACCAGTGCAAGGACATGGGGAAGGAAGTTGAGTCAGGTTGGAATAGGATCTGAAAGGGRAAAAAAATGAAACAAAATGATGTTCTTTTCCTTGAGAGAACATCCTTGAGATSTTTCCTTGAGAACATGTGTCCTGTCTAGAGAGCACAAAGCAAAACTCATGGTCTTCAGTACTGAATGTTTCCGTCTTCTGACTGGAGTTTAAATGTCAACTATAAGATTTCCCATTGGAGACAGAATTACTGCTATCCATTTAAGAACATGCAGCCATCTCGAATGACAGAGGCCTGCTGTCCAGCAGCAATCTGTTTAGAAACTGTGCTAAAAATCATAGTGAAGTTGCCGATCAGTAGTTGGAGCTTCTCGTAAGGAGCTGCCTTGGGTTGAGGGGTGCCTGAAGGCAGCAGGGCTTGACTCCCTCTCCACTCTGCCTAGGTTCCTGCTGATGATGGGAGTTTTGTTCTGCTGTGGAGCTGGCTTCTTCATCCGAAGGCGGATGTATCCTCCTCCGCTAGTCGAAGAACCTACTTTTAACGTGTCTTACACCAGGCAACCAGTCAACACTGCGTCAGGTCAGAAACTGCTTATTATACAAGTTTCCCTAATTTCCTATATGTGCCAAGGCATTAAAAAGGGTTTTYTTTTATTTCCTTTGAAAACTGTTGGACTGAGGAAAGGAAAGGTACTTCACTAAACCACCCAACCCTTGCCTCTGATGAATGAAATTCTGATGCACACTAGCAGCATACAGCAGTGGCTTTGAGACCAAGGGTAACAGAACTGTTCCCTTCCCTTGTGTTCTTAATATCTTTAGACCTACATATCAGTTAATAGAGGAAAGAAATGAGACACTCTGCAATGCTGACAAAACAATAGATGTCCAAAATAAACAATGATATTTTCCTCTTGTGAATAAGTGAAGGAAAAAAATCAAAGTAAGGTTGATACCATCTAGCAGAAGTGAAGGAAAACCTAACATTTTCCTTCTACCACCCAGTTTATCACAAGTCTTCTTTTCTTGATTTGCCTTCCATATTCCACTCTGTACTTTTTTTGCTGCAGTGAAGCTTCTCTGTCAGAAGTCATTTTCCATTCTGCATCTTTTGGGGCTTTTTTTTTTTGGTTTTACTGGACACCCATTTTTGCAGAAAATGGAGGGTTGGGGCAGGGAAAAACCAAATTAACTAAACCGTACCTCTAGTCCTGAAAACAACCCCAAGGATAGGTAACAAGGGAAGACCTCGCCACTAGATGAGCACAAGTACTAGGTTTAATTTTAGAGAAAGGCTCGAGTTTTTCATGGCACCTCATGGGCAGACAGGGCAGATAGAAACAAGGGTAGGCCCTCAGGCAGCCTGATGAACACGACCTGCTTTCGGACTCTCATTACTGCTTTTCAGACCTTGGAGCCTGAGATAATCTCACCGCAACCCCTTTTTCCTGCTGTTTTTGCTGAGCTTGTGCTCAGTATCTCAGCACTTCCCAGTGCTTTCCCAGTTTCTCTGCATCTTCTCGTCCTTGTTTGCTTGCGTGTGGGTGAGCCAGGTGCAGAACCCCACGAGATGAGTGGCAAGGAAGGAAACCAGGTTACAGGCTCAGACAGAGGCCCTGGCAACTTCCATAAGCTGAAGTTGTGTGATGTCCACAGGAGGCTATGCGCTAAAATCAAGACTTCCTTTTGATGAAAAGTCAGTGAGCAAATGCAGTGAGTGTTCYTACCAGTCTGTGGTTTGGTCTTTTTTCTGGAGTGGGAGAAGCACAGCCCCTTGTCTCTGCTCTGATGAACACTTTGAGGCATTTTACATTTTCAGTGAGTAGCTGGCCTTGAAGCAGAGGCAGCCTCTGAGTGTCACCTTGGCCCCATGTTCTGGGCTCCGTAAAACCAGCTGCATGGGGCTTCCGGCCAGGCTGACCATCTCTTGCCCCTTGAGCTGTTGCCTGTGCCCTTGCTGATGCCTTTTCTCCCCTTTTTTTCTTTTCTTCAGGGTCACAACAACCTGGGATGCCGTATTACACAGATCCAGGCGGACCTGCGATGAATCCCATGGCGATGGCTTTCCATGTCCAGCCCAATTCCCCGCAGGGGAACCCAGTTTATCCTCCCCCACCTTCCTACTGCAACACGCCGCCTCCCCCCTATGAGCAGGTGGTGAAATCCTCTACGTGAGAACTCTGTGGCGCTCGGACCTGACTCTGTGAGAAGAAGGTGCCATTGCAAAGTGACAGAGATGGAGGGCATCTGCCCTTTTGAACACTTGCTGGTTCTCTCAGTCCTCTCTCCCTCCCTTCCCTGCACCTTTCCTCATTAAAGTTACTTGCAAAGGGGTGATTTTTAAATTTTTTGGTTTTGTTTTTGCAGTAGAGGTGGATTTTTTTTTCTTTTGTCTTCATAATGAGAAAAGTCGTCTTTGTAATGCTTTTAATGGAAACCTATATTTAAAACATGTATGTCTTTCTCTTTATTTATTGTTCCGACTGTGTGTATTATTGCATTGTGGCAGGATACCAGGGACAGTTCTTTATGCGATCCCAAAGTGATGTATGCTCTCCTAAGCCCCGATTAGAAGGAATGTCCTAATTTAAAGGAGTTGAAAGTTAGAGAGGCTAAATGTAGAAGAGGCCGGCTGTGCTTTTACCAGGGAGAGTGACAACCATCATTTTCACTTAGAGATTTCTTGCAAAGCTCTGTTCTGATGAACAAGAGTGATGCACTGGGACAGAAGCCACTAAGGGAGAGGGACACCAGTGTGGACTGGGTCATGGCAGTGGCTTTGCCTCAGAAGAGAGGACTTGGTTGCTATAAATGAAGGAGAAGGACCAAGGCCTCAGTGCTTCTTGGCCAGCGACTGGACTCTGCCTGTGGCCTCTTCAGCCTGGCTTCCCTTCTCTTTTGATGCCCTAAGGGTTTTGTTTTGTGCTGTAGCCAGAGGTGAGATTGTAGGAAATGGCTAATGACTTAAATGCCAGGAGTGAGTGGGGAATGTTATAATGTTGGAGCTACTCGTGCTTGTGCCACTAGATGTGTTCAGAAATACTGAAAAATAGAAAATAAGAAATAGAAAAAAAATCTTTYCCTAGACTGAAAAATGATTGTAACAGAAAGGAAAAGGAGCCCCCTTCCAAGTTCGTTCTCTTTGAAACTGGTGGGAATTTTGTCACTGGGAAATCATCGTTTTGTTATGGCCTTACTGCAGCCACCAAGTTACCCATAGCTGACCTGTTGTCTCTGGGTGGCAGGTTTGGGATACACTCTCCCTCCTGTGCTAGCGTCACACAGCCTTTTTGCAAGCATCTCCCTAGCCCAGCACACGGATGTTTGGGCTTTGCAACTGCTGCTGGCACTTAGATCCCTGTTCACTCTGCTGTGCAGATTCCCAGGGTCCCAATTCATGCTCAGGGCTGTTGCCACCATCCCACACAAAGCGTTTTTCCTGGGAGAGCTGTTAGGTGAGTTCATCTCCAGCAAGACTGAAAGCCACACAGAGGAGTGACTGCCTCTCAGTGGCCTCTTCTCACCTGCTGCGTAGTCAGAGTGATTGATAATGATAATGATCGCTCATTGATAATGAGTGAAAAAGAGAAAATCCCACTGCTTTGCTGCTGAAGGATTTGCAGGAGCGGCACAGCTGAGAGTTAGGAGCTGGGTCTGGCCTTTGGGCCCCAGGTCAATTACTGCTTCCTCACTGCCACTCCAGCTTGGGTATGGAGGGCACAGGGGCAATCTGAAGTAATCCAAAAGAGCCATGTTGCTCAGGGAGCAAAAGTTTTGTTGTGCTATTGATGCACCTTCTTGCTGCCAGCAGCTTGTGAGAATTTGTTCCTGGAGAGCAAGCTAAATTTGCAAAGTTGACAGAAAAAGACATCCTTTTGATTATGCACGAGTTGACTTACCAGGCAAATCACTAAGGGACGTTGTGTTTCTGAAAGCTGCTGGTGCTGTTAATAGTCATTTACTGAAGCAGAACTAACTTTTGCAGAGCTCATTAGAGCAATCGTGATTTGAGTGAAATTGCTACTGAAGTAATTGTGTGGCCGCCAGGGAAGACAGTCAAGAAGTTGTCGGTTTGTGCGACTGATGGGAGTGGGGAGAAACCTGCCTGGTTTGGTGGCCCTGAAGCACTGCCTCACAGAGTGCTACATCACCCAAGGTCCTTTTGCTGTGACCTGCCTTCTGGAAGTGCAGTTGGATTTGCCAAGTCAGAGAAAGCTGTTCCTGCGATGCCATAATCTGCAGGATGTGGTAAAAGGCCTGGTCACAGCCACATTAAAGCCAAAGGGAGCTGTGATGATACCAGCGGATCAAGATTTGGCCCAGGAAAAGAAAGGACTTTATTTTATCAAACCAACAGGAGGTTCCTATAAGCACCTGACAGCAGCGATTGATTTGGGTTGCATTTTGATATGTGTCTCAGTCACAAGGGTTAGGAGGGTAGAAAAATGGCATCATGCAAAGCTCTGTCGCATCGGGATGTGCGGCTGCCAAGGTGGTAGAAAAAAGGTCTTTCCAGGAGTGCGGAGCTCATTCTGCTGCTTAGAGGGACTTGTGAGTCGGAGCTGGTGTAGGGTTAGCCCCAGATTCTGAGTCTGTACTTGCACTTACATTATATTCCATAGGAGACCAAATCAGAGCATATCCTGCTATATTTGCTCATGTTCAACACACACTTCAAAAATGTTGACTGGTAATGTACTTACGAGAAATCTACCCTATCTCTTTTTTACTCTTCTATGTGCTATTATGGATTAAAAATAACCCACTCAAATTCTAACAATTCTTGTAGTTCTTTTTCATGATACTTGAAAAGTGCAAGCAGGCCCAGGTAAGACTGTTTTTTGGATGTATACAGTAACACTGGATTCAGGAAGGGCAAAATTATTTTCTGAGCTTCCCAGAGCTGATCTGGCCTAAGTTGCTTTGCTAGATTTAAATCTTCCACAGTCTACCATTTAAAGTGTTTTGACAGGCAGAGCTGCTTCCCAATCAATTGGCTGTTTAATTTTAAGTAGTGAAACATAAGAGGGGCTGCTGCTATACCAAATACCACGTACTCATGTAAACACTGAGATAGAACTGCCTGGCAAGGGACTGCTTTGGTTTTCTTAAATATCTGGGTTTGCCACAGACATCTTTGCATGGGAGCGGAGCAACATGAACGGGGAGAGCTGTGCACTGCTCCTCTCCTATTGCAGCCTTGCTTCTTTAGGTCACCTTGTCTCTTCCGGCTGGTACCACCAGCTGGAGACCCTCACCCAGAGGGTGGAGCTGACACTGAGCCAAGGTAGAAACACTTTTTAAAAGTATTCCAGGAAGAAAATACATGCTTCTACTGTGCCTGAGAGACTATGCATGTACTAGGATGTGTACAGTGTAAGCTTGGGGACATTTAAGGTAAGGAAAAGCACATTTTATAGATGATTAATCAGTAGGTCCATTTGCCTGCACATCACAACTGTTTGTCTAAAATTGTGTGCACTCGGAATTCAATGCTGCTTATGCCATACCGTATGGTTGTGTGTGCACTATGTAGTTTTTTTTTAAATCAGATCCAACATTTCTTTTTCTGTTAACAGAAATGATGACAGACCTCTGATGTTAGATGGTGTTATTTTATATTATGACAAGAGTGGGCATTTTCATCATAGGATTGGCTAATAGCTTCCTACAGTGGATTCTTATGCTATATACTGAAGTTCTACATTTGGTGATTTTTTTTTTTTTCAGTCTGGCTGTTTTCTTTGCTAATACTGATGGTTGATGCTACCTCTTACAACATACCCACGCTCCTCCTAGCAGTTGCTTAGTCTCCTACTCAATGCTCAGCAGCTATGTCAGTCCCTTGTAGATCGCTCACATACCCTTCCCCTGATTGCCTTGCTGGGGGAAATATTCAGGTTTCCTTTTTTGCTTCTTTTTACTTCTTACTTTAAAAAAAAATGAGGGGGGCAGGGGTAGAAGGAGGAAGCCTATAACTTCTCTTGACAGGGATATGTTAACAAAATAAAGCTGATCTGGGTATATATGTTGCAAATTTATAAAATCAGATTGATTGGAGGATGGAGCAGCACTTGGTCTGTCTGCAGTCTCAGGCTTCTCTTGCTCTATACAGAGTTTCTTTTTGAATGTGTTTTCCTAAAGTAAGATTATATGATGCTCTACCTAATCATCTTTATTGCTTGTTTCTGAGTGGTATTTTTCCAAAAGCTTTAATGTGAGCAAGTAGAGCTAAAAGTGTCATTGGACGTGTGCAGAAGAGGACAGTAGGCAGGACTGCCTCATATCCAACTGCCGCTTCTAAGAACTGGAGCTAAAGCACAGGCTACAGGCACATCAGTGGACATGGTAGGGTCACTTGTCACCATCACCACGATGCAGACAGGGCAGGTGGGCAGCCTTGCTCATGCTGGTGGTGGAAAACATGATCTCCAAACACAGCATTGCTGTGCAGGCCTGGTGAGCAAAGCTCACAGCTGGATAGTGCAGCTACAGTGAACCTCCATATTGCAGGTAGGAGCTTCAGTGTAGGGATTTGTTTGTGAGGTTTTCTGGTTGTTGCTGCTGTTTCTCACTCTGTAGCACAGCAGAGGTCCTGGTGCCTCACCCCTGATTCTGCTAAGTAAGTTTGGTGCCAAATTGGCGTCAGGTGCTCCCCAGGGCCCACAYGGGAGCTGCAGGGCCAGGGCTGTGTTGTGACTCTCAGCCCATGCCACGGTGCTGCCTCCTGTCTGCTTTGGAGATCTCATCAGCTATGTCACAAAGTTGTCTTGGTGTGTTTCAACCTTGTGTTTCTCGCAGTAGCATTTAAAACAGGACATAGATGCTTTAAAATAAGACTGGAGTATAATAAAGGTGCAGATGCCCAGTTACTAAGAACCATTTGGAGCCAGAAACAAAAACACTCCCTCTTGAGGTCCTCTGTTCAGCTGGGGAATCTTGAAACAATATATTGTAATCGATATATTAATGGCCAGGTGGTGTCAGGATGGAACACATAAAGGGGGTCACTGCAAGCAAGGAAATCTTCCAGGTCTCTGCTCCTCCCATATGCCATGGTGGACAGAAGAGGAATGAGTCTGTTCCACTGTAAAGTCCGGCTAAGCAGCCTTGAAAGAAAAGATGTTACCATCGAGACCTGCCTATAGCTGCTGTGGGGCTAATCTGTCCTAAATGCAAGGCCTCTGAGGAAAGCCTAGGATACACCATAAGGGCAGGGGGGAAACTTGCCTTTCCCAATGCTAGGGGATTGGTTTAAAAGTTTTTGCCCGCAGTGCTGTGGCAATGAAGAACAGCAAGGGTTGGAATTGCGCAGGGCAGGAATGAGCAGGGATATTTATAGACTCATAAAGGACACCGTGATCATGGTGTGGAGCTGGCGCCTTCAGGTACGCAGTCATCAAATATCTTCTCCAGAGCGGCATTACAGTATTTCTTAGAGCTCTGCAGTTTTGAGCAAAGCCCACCTCCTTGCTCAGAAAGCCCTGCCTCACAGCTGGCCTCATTTCTGAGCTTATCTCCTTTCAGGTTCAGGCTACTGAGTCCCATTCTGCCAGCACTGGTGAGAAAGAAAAACCGCCCTTAYTTCCTTTCCTATCACTTCTCAGATTTTTCACATATAAGTAGCTGCATGAGACCAAACTCATCTATTCTTTCTGGTAAAATGATCAGTCACTGCTTCTGTTTCTATCCCAAGACTTGGTCCCCCCAGCTTACAGACTCCTTTATGGGTAGCTGTGAGTTATTGCCACACTTCTTGAAGCATGGATGTAGGGCCAACACGTACACAACGTATAATGCAAGGTAGTGTGCATAGGCAGAAGGCCTCTGCTTGGAGAGGTAAGTGAAAGCACAAAGCTGCGTGCTACCCTGTGCCCCTGGGGCAGCCCCTGCAGAGAGGTGGGGAATACGCGTGGGAGCCTCTAACCCAGCTGCAGCCTTGCTCCCATGCAAGGCTTGAGTTGCTCTGCAAGTTCAAGCAGCAAAGCTTTGACTGGGGCAGTTCAGATTAATGGCAAAATGTTGAAAAATGTTGACTTGAGCTCTGTTCCTGTCACTTGTGGCTATGTGGAGCAGTAATCTGTGGCCTCTCTACAAACACCAGGGGTTTATGACTCCTGTAGTCCCCTCACYGGGGTACAGAACCATTTCATAAGGAGCTCAAGTACAGCTGGTCTGTGATCCGGATGGGCTTCCTGGGTGTGCCAGAGTGGTGCAAAAAAGCCCTTTACCCTCATCAGTGCTGTTTTTTCAGGAAAAAAATTGCACTGAGCACATGTGATGATGTGTGTGAACAGTGCTCCCCTGGTGGAGAGAATAGTCTATTTTTTGACTGTCTTTCAGCTTAGTAGGAGCCATGAGAGGTGATCACTGGCTACAGATGCCCAAACTTCTAGCGAGTTCTTTGGATCAGCTGCATTAAATGTAGGGACCTAGGACAGAAACAGGGAGATTTCTCCCCACTCTGCTCATGTTCCTCTTGGGCACAGAAGCTCTGTCCTTTCCTGGTATGGGATGGTCACCTGAGGGCACAGCGGCCAGAGAAGCGTTGCCTCTCTCTGCTTCCTTCACTGCAAGGCTGAGGCCGAGGAGTGTGCACAGCCTCTCATGGAAGCAGAGAGTGGGTGAAGAGCAGCCGGGCCCAGGCAGCCTCACAGGGAGGCATGGACCGCATGAAGAACTGCCTGGCACAGACAGCCTCACAAGGAGGCAGGAAGCGAGTGAGGTGCAGCTGGGCATGGGCAGCCTCACATGGAGGCAGGGAGCAGGTAAGGAGTGGCGGAACAGGTGCAGCCTCATATGGAGCCTCCCCAAGGAGCAGGTGAGGAGTGGCCAGGCCCGGACAATCTCATAGGGGGTCAGGGAGCAGGTAAGGAGTGACCAGGCACGGAAAGCCTCACACGGAGGCAGGTAGCAGGTGAGGAGCGGCCGGGCACGGGCAGCCTCACAAGCAGAGAGATGATGAGGAGTGGCCAGGGCAGCAC